GGATTCTCTGATGAGACACCAGAAAGCACTAGAGCCTGAGGGTTGGGCCCCTCTTCTGGGTCCTGGATTCTGGATCCTTGGATCCTGTGTGCTAGCCCAGAAAGCAAGGATAATGGAGAGCCACAAACTCCCACTCTTCCCCTGATAAACATGTCTCTGGCAGCCTGGAGTTTATATTTTTGGGGCATTCCCTTATGGTTGCTCTAATACAAAAGACTGAGAACTACTATGTAATATTAGTGTTTGAAAAGTTTACTCCAATGATATTTGAAGAATGCATTTAAAGTAACTAAAAGAAACATAACTGCATTTTACTCTACTGTGTCCAAAGTATAAGCTTTAAATAATATAAAAATGACAATAATAATAAGAAAGCCTCCAAATATTTGAAAATTAAGATGCATACATCTAAATAATTCATGGTTAAAGTAGGATCTCAAGGAAATTTTAAAAAATACACAGAACTAGGGGATCCCTGGGTGGCGCAGAGGTTTGGCGCCTGCCTTTGGCCCAGGGAGACCCGGGGTTCGAATCCCACGTCGGGCTCCCGGTGCATGGAGCCTGCTTCTCCCTCTGCCTATGTCTCTGCCTCTCTCTCTCTCTCTCTCTGTGACTATCATAAATAAATAAAAATTAAAAAAATAAAAAAAAATACACAGAACTAAATGAAAATGAAAATACAACATATAAAATATGGTAGGATCCAGATAAAACACCGCCAAGAGGGAAACAAATGGCACTAAATGCCCATATCAGAAAAGAAGAACGTTCTCAAATTAATAACTTAAGTTTCCACCATAGAAGACTAGAAAAAACTAGCAAAATAAAAACCAACACATGAAAAAGGAAGGAAATAATAATACATTATGATTAAATGGAGTTTATTCTAGGAATGCAAGCCTGGTTCAACATTCCAAAATCATCAATGTAATCCACCATATTAGAACAAGACCCACATGGTCATAGCAGTTAATGCAGATAAAACATTTGACAAAATTCAATATGCATTTATGGTAAACACTCAGAAAACTAGGAACAGAAGGGCACTACCTCAACTTAGCAAGGAATATCTACAAAAAAATCCTACAAAAAATGATACAGAAGATATCATACTTAATGGTGAAAGAATGGATGTTTTTCTCTTAAATTCAAAAACAAGACCAGGGCTCTCTCATCTCTCCTTTTCAGCTTAGTACTATAGGTACCAACCAATGTAGTATGGCAAGAAAAAGAAATAAAGACAAACAAATTAAAAGAAAAGAAGTATTACTGTCCATATTCATGGATGACATGACTGTTCACATAGAAAATCCAAAGAAATCTACAAGAAAGTGCTTAACAAATGACAATCACTCTATGAAAGTCTCGGGATACAAGATCAATACAGAAACATGAATTGTATTTCCTAATACTAACAATGAACAATTGGAAACCAGAATTAAAAACACAATGCCATGAGCAATAATTCCAAAAAATGAAATATCTGGCTATAAATTTTTTTAAAAAGAGAGAATCTGTATGTTAAAACCAATAACACTCTGATGAAAGGAACCAAACAAGTCCTAAATAAACAGAGATACATCGCATTCATGGATTGGAAGACCATATAGTAAAATGTCTACTTTCCACAGAATTCTTTCATCAATCTAGACAAGTTTATTCCAAGATTTATAGAGGAAAGGTAAAGAAACCAGAATAGCTAAAACTGTTTTGAGAAAGCAGAATACAATTGGAGGATTTTAAACCCTGACATAAAGCTATAGTTAAGGCAGTGTGGTGTTGGTGGAGGGATAGGGATGTGGCTCCATGGACAGGACAGAGAAACAGAGACTACAGAAACAGTCACACACAGATACAGTAAACTGGTGTTTCAGAAAAGTGCAAAAGTGATATGATGGAAAGAGGATAGCGTTACTAGCAAATATCAAAAATAACTCAAAATGGATAAGCAATTTAAATGCAAGACGTAAAACTTTGAACCTTTTACAAGATAAGGTAGGAGAGCATGTTTGGATGCCAGGGCTTGTGGAAGATCTCTTAGACCCTACAGCAAAAGTATCAACCATAAAAGAAATAAGAAAAAATTGGACTTCATCAAAATGAAAATGTTTCCTGTAGGAAAGGCCCAGTTAGAGACAAGAAGCCACAGGTCTGGAGAAGCTACCTGCCCTACCAGAATCCGGAAGGGGTTTTCTCTGACCTACTCTTGAGAACATAATAAGGCTACTGGAGGAAACCCTTGTGCAAGTGTGGTACCAGCCCCACCCCCCACCCCTGCCCAGGCTGGGCCCCAGTGCCTTTGACTCCCAGGCTGGTCCACGCAGGCCTCTGGCGGGCCACCAGCTACCAGCTACTATGTGGGCTCTCCAGCAGCTCTTCTGCTAGTATGAGCAAGCTGGGATCCCTGATGTGCTGGTGTCTCCAATTTTCTGGGCCATGGTTTGCCCTGTGACCTCAGTTCTCTGCTGGGTCTAAGAAGAGCTGTTGTTTAGTCTGTTCAATTGTTTTCATATTTTGTGGATTTGGGAGTTCCTTAGACTGGAAACGGAAAGTCTCTAAGCGATTCTTATCACTTTGTTCTCACTTCTGTAACGTGTCTGGAGTTGACTTGGCACCAAGAGCTGGTGGCTCCACCACGCCAGTGTCCCATCTAGGGGGCAGGGAGTCCCCGGTGGCAGGTCTTCCAAGTGCCTCTGGTCACTGATGCTGCAAGTGCCCCTCCAGGCCCCGCTCCCAGGCTCCTGGCTCCTCCGCTTGGCCCCTTGCCTCCACACCTGCCTCAGTGTGCCGACTCAGGAGTGGGTGTCTGGGACCCACTCTGGGACAGGTCCATGGGGAGGGTGGGCAGAGTGACAGCACCTGAGGGCAGCCTGCTGGGATTTGAAACAGCAAGGAGCTCCAACTTCCCGACAAACAGAAGTAGGTTTGTGTTCCTGTTGTGCTATTTACCACCCGTGCCACCTCTGAAATGCTACACAATCCTCTAAGGCTTCACTATCTTTAAAAGGAGACTAAAGCAAGATAATAATCCTGAGCACGAAGCTGGTTGCAGGTGAGGTATGTGTGGGATGAGGTCTGAGTGCCTGCCAGGGGTGGGGAGGTTGGGTGCAGGGAAGCATCCAACTCCAGAGCTCAGCCAGCTGCAGCTTCCACGGTTGGCAGGAGAGAAGGTTAGGACCACTGCAGAGGCCAGGGCTCCAGCAGAGCTGCCCAAGCTGCCCTGACCTTGTGAGAGCAAGAGGACTCACCGGTGTCTGGGGGCCTGAACAGCTCTACTTGGGGCCCCAGAAGTGAATTTCCCACCGAGGGAGGGAAAGCTCACCTTCCCCCTTCCAGAGACAGCTGAGCCAGTGGCAGGCACACAGCTGGACACAGGGTCCCTCACTGGAGGGGCTGCGGCCTGAGGGATAGCTAGGGTAGGGAATGCCAGCAATATCCACTCAGGTGTGAGCCCTGGGGACACACCTTCTTGGGGCCACCCAAGATCATCCTGGAAGGCAGTGCCTGTAACGGTGAGGTCCCAGTGTTAAAGGGACGTGAGTCCATTTTTGCCCATCAGTCAGGAGGGATCCAGGGTAGTTAGATGATGACAGAACTGGAAAGAATCTGCACTTGGTCTGTACTGGATGTGCATAAATGGGAGCTTTCCCACCCTACCGTGGGTGTGAGGGCTGGGGTGGGTACACTGTGAGGCTGGAACTCTGTGGGCGGCACCAGGGCCCTTGCCGGGCAGATGGCAGTAAGGATACCCTAGAACATTGCTTCAAAGCTTATCACCTGGCTGCAAGGTCCTGGGTCAGCTAAGCAGGAACAGTGACAGCAGGATCCAGCTGCTCAAGTGTGTAGACACCTTGGGCAGACTGGCTGGTGAACCCAGGAAGCAGGGGTTTCGCATGGAGTTGGGCCCCCTCCGAGTGGGGGCAGGGAGGCCATGGGGAGAGGTGAGGAAGGTGCTGGGAGTCCACTCTAGGAACAGAGGCTTGAGGACCACCAGCTCAGCCTGGCATCAGCCTCCTCTGTTCCTGACTCACTCCTAGACCCTGAGTTCGAGAGCCCTCCTGCTGCCTCCAGAACTCCCCTCCTCACAGCCATGCACCCCAGTCCCTATGAATCACCTGCAGTCCAGAAGCTTCCCTCCACCTGCACTGGGAGTCCCTCCCCCAAAGCCCTGGATTGACATTTCTCTACTTTGGAGGAGACTCTTGCTCTGAGGACACCCCATAAAGTGTCTGACTTCTGATTATGGGCTGAATTGCGTTCTCCAAAATTCTTATATTGGAGTCCTAACTCCCAGTGCCTCAGAATGTGTCTTTGCAGGGGTGGTTAATGGTAGACGAGGTCACTAGGATGGCCCTAATCCCCTATGACTGGTGTCATTCTAAGGAGATCTAGTCACAGACAGGCCCAGAGGGATGACCGCGTGAGGACACAGGGAGGACAGTGTCTGCATGCCCAGGAGAGAGGCCTCGGGGAAACCAGCCTTGCCCAGGCCGCACTTTGGACTTCCGGCCCCTGGGGCTGGGAGAAGATATGTTCCTGCTGTTTCAGCCGAGGACTCGGGTATTGTTATGAGGCCCGAGCTGCCTGATGCACCTCATGGGAAGGCCTGCATGCTCTCCGTGCTCTCCATGCTCTCCGTGCTCCCCGAGACAGGAGCAGAGTCTGAGTGGAGACGGCCTGCTCACTTCCCAGCTGGTAGCCCTAGCTCCATCTGGGGACGGTCTCCTGACCAGTCCCCTTTCCTTGCACTGGGAGCCACATGCCTGACCTCTAGGGAAGGGGCAGTGTGGTCCCAAGACAGGAACAGGATGAGTCTTTTATTTATTTTTGTTTTTTTGTTTTTTTTCTGGCTTGGCTTGACGGGTGGCAGTTGATGGGTGGGAAAGTCCAGGAGAGGGAATTGCTGAGAGCCAGTGGGGCTGAAGTGGGGAGGTGTGGAAGGTTCTGGTGACCAGACTGGGGCCCGAGGCAGAGAGCTGGCTGGGGCTAGGGGGGAGGGGTCACTGCAGGGCCTGCTGGGGGTCTCTGAATGCAGACAGCAGCAGGAACCAGGTCTGGGGAGGCACAAGGGCTGCAGGGCGCCCAGAGGAGCTGGCCGTCTGCAGAGGCTGGCCCAGAAACGGGGTCTGAGGAGCAGCTGTGGGATCAGGGGGAGGTGTGAGCATCTGGATCTCATGGATCCAGTCGGAGAAGTAGCGAACCCTGGTGAAGACGCTGGGGTAGATGGGGTGGCGGCAGTCAAAGCCCCAGCTGGCCAGCCCCACGAGAACCCAGGCTGTGGGGAGCTCGCAGACAAGGGGGCCCCCGGAATCACCCTGGGAAAGAAAGGGTAGTTAGTGTGAGTGAGCAGAATCTGGGAGCAGTGGGCAGGTGGGGCTCATGAGCCTGAGAGTCTGTGTACCGTCCAGTCCGCTGGGGTGGGCCTGGGAACTGCACTTCAGGGGGCTACGACGGCCCCCACGACTGTGCCCTCTGCCCTGCACCCAGGGAGTGGCTGGCCACTGGCACAAGGCTCTGCCCAAGGCCTAGAGGGGGCAACTGCAAGGACAGGCCAGGGGGGCTGGCTGCGAGTGGAGCCTGGCCAGCCAAGGCCTCCCCCACCCTGTCGGAGCTGTAGCGCATCCCCCTGGGTACCCCGCCTTCTCATCCATGTAGGACTTCGGTTTTCTCTCAGCTTCTTGGTCAAGCATGTCCTAAAAATGCCCAGGTCAGGCCTGGTGGAGACAGCCCACATTGCTGGGGGGCAGGGGCAGCAGGCGGGGTCCCCTAAGGGCCACTGGGAGTCCCTGGAGCCCTGAATGCTGGCCGGGCAGGGTCAACCAGCTGGACATCCCTTTAATTCACAGGCCAAAGGAAGGCTCTTATGCTGGGGCCCCTCCCTCAGGCCCATGAGCTCTCTGACAGGGTGGGGAGGTCAGCTGAGGAACCAGTCGGATGGGGCTTCCCTGAGTGGATACACCGAAGAGTAGACAACCCAGCCGCTGGATTCAGGGGCATGGGGAGTGGTCAGGATGCAGGGAGGGACACGGTAAGGACCCGGAAGGCGGGGTGGCCTGGCGGTGCAGGCAGTGGTGGAGGGGCCCGGGGAACACTCTGGCATAAGCCAACAGGAGCTGCTGCAGGGGCTGCAGGAGGTTCCCTCCCAGTGGGCAGGAGCCCGGGTGGCCAGAGTCACAGTCAGATCTGGGATAAAGGAGCCCACAGGGCCTGAGGAGGAAATCAGAGCTTTTCTTGTTGCTGGGCAGGGAGAGAAAGTCACAGGTTGCGCAGGCGACCTGGGTCCCCGTGGGAGGGGGCGGCCAGGAACTGGGAGGGAGACCCCCGCGTGTGCCCATGTGAGGACTCGGGTCTGTTGGGCTCTGGCAGGACCCAAGCTGCTGGGGATGTGGGTGGCAGCGGGTGAACGCTCCTGGAGGAGTGGGTTAGGGAGACTCAGTACCATGCAGTGGTGTGGGGGGTGGTCTTTAAGGGAAGGGAGCAGAGTGGGTGGGCAGGGCCCCTGTGGGAGCCCAGGAGGTCCAGGCAGTGCGGGGCAGGCGGGGAAGGCCGCTGGGCTCAACGGTGATGGCTGACGCAGAGGGCTGGGGAAGGTCGCCTGAGGGAGAAACAAGGGCACCGGGTGTGGCCATCTCACGACCCTGACAGGTGCACGGCTTCATCCCTGGAACCTGCAACCACACACAGCAAAGGGACCATGGCCCAGTTGGGGGTCTGGAAACAGGAAGGTTGTCCCGGGGTGTCTGGGTGGGTGGGCAAGAAACAGTCCCATAAGGAGCTGTGTGCTCTGAGGACGAGGTGCCGGTGGCCCGGGAGCTGAGGAAGGCAAGGAGCCTCCTGAAGGAACCAGCGGCACCCCCTCCTCCATTCTAGACTGTGGACCCCTGGAAAGGTCAGATGACCATCTGTTGCTTTAGCCACCCAGTTTGAGGTGGTGCATTACTGCGGCCCCCAGACTCTTGCAGAGGCTCCCGGGAGAGTGGTGACACCTCGCCCCCACCCTCAGGTCCCCCAACAGGAGGGCCTCCTGGCTCCCACGGGGCTCTCAGCAGGCAGAGGAAACCCCAACACCAACGTAGCCCGTGCCAAGCACTCCTTGGTTGGCACCAGTGCAGGGACAGAGCAAGGGTGCGTGTGTGTCGGCAGGGCCCAAGAGGACACACGGAGCTCAGATCCGGGAGGCAGATCAGCTGGAGAACGCAGGCCAACACGTGTTCCCACGGAACAGGCGCCACAGTGAACTGTCTCCAGAGCCTCAAGCGGGGGATGCGCTCAGCAACCCCTTCTTGGGTGAGGAAAGCTGGCCAGGGTCCCAGCACTGACAAATGACAGACTGAGACCAGACACGGGTCCATCCACCACAATCTAGCACGGAGTCACCCTGCAGCGCCCCCACCCCATCCTGCCCTCAGAGCAGCTTCCAGTGCCCTGCGCAGGGGAGGGGCGCTTCAGGGGAAAGAAGAGAGCAGGGTGGGCCCCAGAGCAGCTGGCCTGACAGACGGGTCCAGACGGAATCTCATGTCCAGACAGAATCTCATGGACAGGCTGTGTGACCGGCAGACTAAGGGAGGAGGGGGCTCCTGGGTGTCCCAATCAGCTGGGCCAAGGGCACTAGGGACATCCAGCCCACTGGCCGACAAAGAGCATCGGCTCTGAGTTCCACAGGCAGGGCCTCCACAGGAGAGGGCAAGTGCGGGGAGGGGTCAGAAGGGAGGGCCAGGGTGACAGCCAAGTCGGGACGCAGGCTGGGCCCTTTGCCTCAGCTTTGGGTGCAGCTGGCCCTGTGAGGAGGTGGCATGGGAGCATCCATGCTGTCAGCTGAGACCCGGGAACCCAGAAACCGGGTCAACCTCCCAGCAGGAGGGCAGGCAGCTGGGCCTCCTCCTCTGGCTCAGCAGCGAGAGCGCGGTCAGTGAGGCCTCCCCCCAGGCCCATTTCACCTCCCTTCTGTTTCCTGTGGCCACCGTCACACACAACCACAAACCAGGGGGGCTTCAGAAACTGACCTCTCCTGCTCTGGAGGCCAGAGCCTGAGCTCAGTGTCTCGGTGCCTTTCCTTCCATCTTTCCATACCAGTCATTGCATGTAGGGCCCCTCTGAATGCAGAACGGTCTCATCTAGAGACTCTAATCCCACCTGCATAGTTCCCAGTAAGGTCACGTCCTAAGCTTCCAAAGGGACATGCATTTGGGGGACAGTATCCAGCCCATTACACCATCCTTTCAACATTCCCATGAAGGAGGCCTCAGAATCCCACACAGGCTTGGAAGATGCCCCTGGAGCCCCAGGGCAGAGCTCTCCCCTCCTCCCTCTTCCCCTCCCCTCCTGGGTCCCTTCCGTGAAGGAGCCCGAGCTGCCTTATATCAGGCTGGCCATGCTTCCTCGTTGGCCTCCTGGCCCACCTGCAGGATGGGGCCTCGTGCACAGGGGAAGGAGACCCTCACAGTCCACATGCCCAGCCATGGACGCATACACAGAACATACAAAAGTGCAAAGAGCTCCTGAAAGAAAAAGACAGACAGCTCAACACAAAATCAGAGGAGGAAAAACCAGGAGGGAAACTTTACCGAAGAAGACACTCGAGGACGACAAACATAGGAGAATTTATTTAACTTAATTAGTCACAGGAAAACACAAATTAGACTGCTGTAAGATACCACGATGCCTGCACAGCAAAATGAGCAAAGGTGGAGAGAGCCCGGAGTTGGTAGGGGTCCGGCCCATCTGTGGTGCGAGGTCTGCAAACACCTGCCAGAGCCGGGCCTCTGCACACCTTCACTGGGACTACTCTAGTCATGGGCTGCTGTGGATACAAGGAGGACCAGGTGTAGATGAAACACTTGGAATGAAGGGGACCAAAGACTCAGAAGCTCCGAAAATCGTCCTCAGGGGCAGAAGCGGCGACAGGACCCAACACACGCGACCAAGCCCCACAGTGCAGTGGGAGCAGACGACACCCAGCATGAGTGACAGGCACAGCCGAGTCACAGACCCACCGCCAAGGAGCCCCACATGGGGACACTTCCGAGTGTGATCTGAGGTGTGCAAGACAACCTCAGAAGGTGACCAACGTAAGTGGGTCACATGTGTACTGAGCCGAGCCACTGCACGCACCTGCTACACTTCACTAGAAAGCCCAAAATGCCCTACAAGAAATGCCGTGGGGATCCCAGGGGCTGTCCTCGCTCAGGGAGAGCCCAGCGCAGGCAGGGGAGAAAGAGAACACAGCCTCACTCACCTGGCAGATGGCCTTCCCTGTCGAGAAGTCCCCGGCGCACAGCATCTCGTCCTGCACAGAGTAAGCTGTGCTCTTGCTAAGTCTTTGTCTGTATAGGACGTTACAGAGCTCGTTCCCGATGAGGCCCACCTTCCCCTCCTGCAGGCGGAAGGGCGGGTGCAGCTGCTCTGTGTCAACGAGAAGGGGCGGGTGACACGTGCTGTGGGGAAGCCCAGCCATACCACGCCCTCTGCCCCAAAACCTGGTCCCTGCCCTCAAGAAAGAACCAGCCAGAGAGAGAGACTGAGTGAGAGAGTGAGAGAAAAAAGAGAGAGAGAGAGAGAGAGAGAGAGAGAGAGAGAGGCTGGGTGGCCCTGTGACTGGGACAGTCCTTCGGACGCAGGGAACTCAGAAGCTAGAATCACACACTGTTCAGAACCAGAACTGCCATGGCCCAGGCCTCTAGAAATGAGGCCACAGAGGCCCCAGGTCCCGTGGTCCCTGGCCTGCGGACCCCTGAGGCAGAGCCACGCCACCCTCTTCCCTCCCGACTCTGCACACCCCCTCACTGTCCTCGCTGAGCATCCCCCAGCCGGTGATCCAGCAAGACAGGTTGCCTGACAGCTGCATGCCAGGGCTTGGAAGGCAGGCGGGGGCGATGTAGGGAGTGAAGTTCAGCGGCAGGTGCAGCTGCAGCATGACGATGTCACTCCCAAAGGGGTGACGCTTCTCGAAGTCTGGGTGCACGATAATCCGGCTCAGGGATATCTCCTGTGTGTGCTGGGTGTGCTGGTATAGCTGGGTGCTTCCCAACAGAACCTGGTAGTCCGCTGGGTCGTGGGACTTGCTGGTGGAGGAGAGCACAGTCACTCTCACCTCTGAGCAGGGCCAGCACACTCCGTACCCCCATCTAAGTGCCCATCCCTCCAGAGGCAGCTTTTGTCTCCTCTTCCCAACTGTCTTGAGGCCAATGGATCTCCTTCCCCAGCGTCAGCCCCATACCTTCCCCACTCCACCTCACCTTGGAGGAGCAACTCCTCAAGCTCAAAGCTCCTTTGTGGGGCCTCACATCAAGGTCTTTCATTCCACAGAGGAGCTCCAGCTCCAACCTAGCTCTCCCTAGACACTTGCAAGCTCCCCACGGCCCAGCTTCACCCTTCCTCCTGGCCCTTCCTCCCATAGGCCCCTTCCTCCTGACAGGTGCTTGTCCACTTGGTCATAAGCATTCAGAGGAGATTTGTTACATCAGCAAATGAGCTCAGGACATGGAATGTCACCCTGTGCCCTGAACGTGAGTGACGAACATCCCACCATGCAAGGCCGCCACCTAGAAAGCCCTCCTCTCTCCTGGGGCCCAGACCCTTCCCTCTGGGCCATGCCCGCTGGGTGGGGGGCACCGCACATCTCCTGACCTCCCTCCCTGTCTAGGGGGCCACTCTTCTCTTTTTTTTTAAAATATTTTATTTATTTATTCATGAGAGACAGAGAGAGAGAGAGAGAGAGAGAGAGAGAGAGAGAGAGGCAGAGACGCAGGCAGAGGGAGAAGCAGGCCCCATGCAGGGAGCCCGATATGTGAGTCAATCCCAGGACTCCAGGATTACACCCTGGGCCGAAGGCAGGCGCTAAACCACTGAGCCATCCAGGGATCCCATGGGGCCACCCTTATCACCCACATTGGCTTTCTCTCCTGCCAGCATGGAGACACCCCCTTGCCATGGAGAGGCTCCTATGTGGCACAGGGAGATTCTGAGGGGCCCTGAGAGTCAGTCAGTGCCTGAGCTCTAGCTCCCTGACCTGGGATGGGATGACCCCATTCCCTTGAGACCCCTCCTCATCTGGTCAGAAGCTGAGCACCCAGCCAGGCCCAGGGGGCCAGAGGAGTCAGCCTCCTGAGCAGCCAGTCAAGGTCAGGGAGCCCACCTCCCACCTTGGCAGCCTGGCAGGGGGTCCTGGCAGCCACAGCTCCTCCTGGGCATGCAGTTCTGCAGAAGTGATAAGAAAAATCAGCCAGCTGCTGGCTATGTGTGCAGACCCAAGCCTGATGCCCAGGAATATGCTGAGGAGACCCCTGCCTCCTCGGGCCAGGGAGCCGGTCTGCGCCATATGGCACATGGCAGCCAGGACAGACCCTGCCAGTGCCCTAGGCCATGTTTGTGCTGGGGGACAGGCAGGGCTGAGGGCAGAGGGTGAGGTGAGCAGGGAGCACTTGCAAGGTGGAGGAGACAAGGTTAGAGGCCACACACTGCTCCAGAGCACTGCCCAGAGGAGCTGGCATTGGACACCTGTCACCCCTTACGGCTCTGCCCCTTGCATCCCGCTGCCCTACGGCCCCTCTGATTGCACCAGGAAGAAGAACTCACTTGAGAAAGCAGTGGGCCGTGGAAACCAGCCAGAGGGAGTCAATGAGGACGGCTCCGCAGAGGTGCGAGCGCTGGTACAGCAGGCTGGCCTGCCATGGCCACTGGCCTGCCAGCACATTCCGGCCACCGAAGATCCTCCCCATCACCTTGGGCTTCCCACACACTGTGGAGACACCCCCGCCACCCCATGTGCATGATAGAGACACAGGCGACCACAAATGATGAGATCACTGAGGCCCTCCTCCCCTTCGCAGATGCAGAAGCCAAGGCCAAGGGTCAGGAGGTCTGGCCAAAATGGCAGGGTGGCCTCGGGCTGCTGCTGAGGACTGGCCAGCAAGCCCTGTGGGGATAAGGGCCCAGGTGTGGCAGGGCGGGGCCAGACAATCAAGGGTGGCCTCAGCAGCGTCTCCAGGCACATGGACATCCCTGATCGCACCTGCTGGGGACTGGGCGCATCCCAGACGCTTCCCTCAGCAAGCACGCCTCCATCTCCTCCCTACTCTGCAGACCAAAGAGCTGAAGGTCTCACGGTTGATGGACTTGCTGGTGATGATGTGCCCAGTCCCAGGGGGCTCCTGTGGCCAGGGCCACCCCACCCAGCATCTCAGGGAGGGAGGTTCCCGAGCAGGAGTCTATGAGCCTCTCCCCCGACTCAGGATGCTCTGTTTTTCACAGAAGAGGAAGGGGGCCAAGGAAAACAGCCCTGGGTCTGGGACTCACACGGCGGGGGGGGGGGGGGTGGCGAGAGGGCAGGGGTATGGCCGGGACCCCCGGGAGGCAGCCTGCCGGGGCCCCTCCTTCAGCAGCAGACCTCCCCGACCCAGCCCCCATCCCAGGGCCGGGCCTTGCTACCTGCCCCGTTCCAGGGGGTCCACAGTGGGGCCTGTGGCTGCCCGTGTGGGGGTTTGGGGTGTCCCAGGGCCTCCAGGTGGGAAGGGGCAGAGAGAAGATGAAGCCTCCGCTGCCCCACCCCTCCGGGAACCCCTCCGCCCACACGCCGCCGCCTAACGCACCCGCTCCCGGCACCAACCGCTGCGTTCCGCCCGCCGGCCGCCCGGGCTCCTGGGCCACAGCCTGGTCGGGAGCGGGGGCCGGGGCGTGGGAGGTCACCGGCCAGGACCCTGGCGTGCCCGCAGCCAGCAGCAGAAGCCAGAGCAGAGCCACCAGCCAGCCTTGGCCTTGGGGCGCCCGCACCTCTGTACCCATCGTGGGGGCCGCTGACCCCAGCCTGACCTGACTGACCTGACCCTGTGCCCTGACCCCGTCCTGATCCCAGACCCTGCCCTGGCCCCACCCCACCGCCTTCCACACCCCAGCACCATCTCCTCCTAACTCTGGGAACTGACCCTGCCCAGACCACAGCCCAGCCTGGACCCAGGCCCGGACTCCTCTCCACACCTGGTCCTGACCCTCAGGGCTGACCTCTTGCCCAGCTGCTCCCGGCATGACCCAACCTCAATACAATCAAGTTGCTCCTCAAACTCAAGAGGAAAGACAGTAGACTCCATATAGAAAAGTGGGAAATGGGATCCCTGGGTGGCGCAGCGGTTTGGCACCTGCCTTTGGCCCAGGGCACGATCCTGGAGACCCGGGATCGAATCCCACGTCGGGCTCCCGGTGCATGGAGCCTGCTTTTCCCTCTGCCTATGTCTCTGCCTCTCTCTCTCTCTCTCTCTCTCTCTCTCTCTATCATAAAATAAAAAAATAAATAAAAATTAAAAAAAAATAGGAAAAGTGGGAAATGTGTGAGCAGTTAATTCAGGGGAGAGGGGATGTGAAGGATCCACAGGCAGGAACACACACTTAGTGGAACTGATAATGGAGAAAGCAGGAGTGAAACATTACAGTCTGTCATTTTCAACCATCAAATTGCAAACATTTTCTGAGATGATAAAGACCCTAAACCTCTGTGAGTCAGTGACTTCTCTGTAGCATAAAGGGAACATCCAGACGTCAGACATGCTCTCCATTGTCTGTCTACTCCACAATGTGATATCCTGCATGTGTTGGTATTTGGAGTGAGATCCTACCATTCCACACTCACGTCCTTATGTGTACAGGGAAATTATTTTATTCATCACAGAGTCTGGGGGCAAGAGAGTAAGGGAATAACAGCTACACACAGTATACACTGAAATATCAATTCTGTTTTGTTTTTTGGAGAGACAGAGAAAGTGCATGAATGGAGAGGGGCAGAGGGAGAGAGAATCCCAAGCAGACTCCATGCCCAGTGGAGAGCGGATATGGGGCTCGACCTTACAACCCTGAGATCAGGACTTGAGCCAAAACTAGGAGTCGGACACTTGATTGAGCCATCAGCGCCCCTGAAATATCAATTTAATAATTACTATTATTATTTATTGAACACAGGAGCTGAGGGGCACTCCGCTTTACTTTTTGGCTAAGAACTTATTCTACTATAAATTAAAAAACCCAAATTTTAGGTTTTGATGAAACTATACTTGTGTTAAAAAGCATGTATACCTCAATATCCAGACTGAATAACTGGTGAACTCTCTAGAAGGGAGTATGGGTTGCATGGCGAAGGGGAGGCGGAGATTGGGAGGACCGTACTGAGTGAGTTGAGGTTGCTGCATCTGTGCAGTAGGCAGTTGGATTTGTCCCACAGGCACGTGGAAGCACCAATTTAGAACTTGGGGATGTCTTGAGTTGGGGATAGAGTACCTTATGGTTCTAGGTAACAGCTGAGGCCGTGGAAGTGGATAAAATCATTGAAAGAAACATGTAGAACCAAATTGGGGAGACAGATAAAGAACAGGAGCCAGCAAGAAACCAAGGACTGGCTGGGGTGAAAGTAAACCCCTGACTCAGTCACGCAGCTCTAAGGTTTCTTACCCACCACTGATGGAAATATAATTTATAGACCACAAAATTCGCTTCCACTGTGGTGGGATGATCACCAGGTCTGCCTCTGACCTCTGCTCCGACGCTGGAGCCACTGCACGCTCTAGGCAGCCACTGGTCTGCTTTGCGTCTCCCTCAGGTGTGTTTTCTGACTTTTCATGTAAATGGAGCCACACAACCTGTAGTCTTTCAAGTCTGGCCTCTTTCACTCAGTAGGACAGCACTCCGAGGCTGCAGGGTGAGCCGGCTGCATGCTTGCTCTCCTTCCTGCTGCCCCTTGGTCCATGCAGCACAACTAACCACCTTCCTTGGATCTTGAGACAACTGGCCTCGAGAATGCAGGACCACATGCTCCCAGGAGATGAGGCCGGATCACATCCACAAACACCTGCCAAGGACTCCAGCGAGTCTGTCAGGATGCCCTGGATGTGGAGCCTGCTGCCTGGATGCTGGGTATCCAACCCGCAGCTCCCTTTCCATCCCCGCAGCTCCCTCTCCATCCCCGCACCTCCTTCCTAAAACCCTCCCTTTTTGCCTGGACAGGGTCCACTGTCTTCTCCGGTTGCCAGCTTCCTAAATAAAGTGACCTCTCTCTTTCCACCATTACCTGTCTCTCCAGTGTTGATTTTCAAAAGGCGAGCAGGTGAACCTGGCTTTGGACCCAGTTCTGCCCAGCAATAGTAGCACGTTGTTTTTGAAGCTCCTGCATGCCGGGGCACATACTGACAGAGAGTGCTGGTGCAAGTGCAGGTGCAGGTGCATGCAGCACGGGGGGAGCAGTGAAGGGAGATGGAGAATCTCAAGCCGACTCCCCGCCTAGAGCAGAGTCCCCCACCCAGCGCAGAGCCCTACGCCCACCTTGATCTCACGACCCTGAGATCATGACCCAAGCCTGCCAAAATCAAGAGTCCAATGCTCAACCACTGAGCCACCCAGGTGCCCCAAGGGCAAAAGTTTTTAATTTTGATGATGTTTAGTAAGTTTGATTTTTCTGTGAATCATGCTTTTGATGTCATATCTAAGAGGTCATGAGGGCTTTCTACTGTTTTCCTTGAGAAATTTTCAGGATTGGTCTTTCCATTTGGATTGATTTTTACTTCATTGTTGTCTAGTGTGATGTAAGTTTCTCTGTTGGTTTGTTTTTTGGATTTTCTAATAACTATCCATTCGTCCCAGCACCATTTCTCAGTTAAAAAAATAAGATGAGTTCTTCCCCCAATGAATGGTTTTGGGGCCTTTGTTGAAAATCAACTCATAATAAATGATAGGATTTTATTTCTGGACTCTCAATTCTGCCCCATAGTCCTAGATGTGTGGTCTCATGCCAGATTTCCACTGTCTAGACTAACATGCATTGTAGCGAATTTTGAACCAGGTAGTGCAAGTTTTTCAGATTTCTTATTTTTCCAAACTATTTAGGTCTTTAACATTTTTATATGTATTATAGGATCGGATGGTCAATTTATACCCCAGAGAGTCTGCTGGGATTTCCACAGAGACTGCGTTAAATTTTCAGTTGACCTTGAGAATTACCTTCTTGATAATATGAAATCTCCTAATCCATGAACAAGAAATGTTTCTCCATTTATTTAAATCTTTAATTTCTCTCAGCAGTATTTTATAGTTTTCAGTGTACAGATCTTGTATGTCTTTATTAAATTTATATCTAAATATTTTCCAGACTGCTGTGAATGATTTTCATTTTGTTACTTTCTTTTCATATTTCCGCAGCTAGTGTACAGAAATACTGTTTATTTTGAAAGAAATATTATTCCTTAGGATCTCCAATGTTTATTAATTCTAGTCTCCTTTGTTTTATTTTGGTGGGTTCATTAGAATTTTCTATGTAGAGGATCATGTCCTATACAAGTAGAAGTTTTACTTATTCTAATCAAAGTTGGGTTACTATAATTTCTATTTCTTTCCTTCTTCCCCTTAGAGACCATATTCATAAGGACCTTGTTTTTTTTTCTCATGGTCTGTCCGTCTCCATGTTGAAATTGGAGGGCTTAGACTATTCACATGTGCTTTATTTTTAACTTTTTGAGGAACCTCCACACTGTTCTCCAAAGTGGCTGCACCAGCTTGCATTCCCACTAACAGTGCAGGAGGGTTCCCCATTCTCCACATCTGTTTTCTGTCTTGTTAATTTTAGCCATCCTCCCTGGTATAAAGTAATCATTTATTTCAGTTTTGATTTGTATTTCCCTGATGACAAGTAATGCGAAGCATTTTCACATGTGCTTGATGGCCATGTGGAGGTCTTCTTTGGTGAAGTATCTATTCATATCTTCTGCCCATTTCATGACTGAATTGTTTCTTGTATGTGGAGTTTGATAAGTTCTTTAAGATCTTGGTTACTAGCCCTTTATCTGATATGTCATTTGCAAATATCTTCTCCCATCCTGTAGGTTGTTTTTTAGTTTTGTTGACTGTTTCCTTTGCCATGCAGAAGCTTTTTATCTTGCGAAGTCCCAATAATTCATTTTCACTTTTGTTTCCCTCGCCTTTAGAAATGGGTTTTGCAAGAAGTTGCTGTGGCCGAAGTCACAAAGGTCACTATCCATGCTCTCCTTTAGGATTTTGATGGATTCCTATCTCACATTTAGATCTTTCATCCATTTTGAGTCTATTTTTGTGTCTGATTTAAGAGAATGGTCTAGTTTCATTCTTCTGCACATGGCTGTCCAATTTTCCCAGCACCATTTATTGAAGAGACTGTCCTTTTTTCAGTGGATATTCTTTCCTGCTTTGTCAAATTTTAGTTGACCATAGAGTTGAGTGCCCATTCCTGGGTTCTCTATTCTGTTCCATTGATCTATGTGTCTGTTTTTGTGCCAGTATCATACTGTCTTCATGATCACAGCTTTGAAATACAGCTTGAAATCTGGCATCATGATGGCAGATAGGCTCTGGTTTTCTTTTTCAATATTCCTCTGGCAATTCAAAGTCTTTTCTGGTTTGATATAAATCTTAGGATTATTTACTCCAGTTCTGAAAAATGTCAATTGCATTGTGATAGGGATGGCATTGGTTGTGTAGATTGCTCTGGGAAGCATAGATATTTTAATAGTATTTGTTCTTCCAATCCTTGAGCATGGAATGTTTTTCTATCTCTGTGTTTTCCTCAATTTTTTTTTCATAATTATTCTGTAGTTATTAGAGCACAGATCCTTTACTTCTTTGGCTAGGTTTATTCCTAGGTATCTTATGGTTTTGGGTGCAATTGTAAATGGGATAAATTCCTTAATTTCTCTTTCTTCAATTCCATTGTTAGTGTATAGAAATGCCACTGATTTCTGTGCATTGATTTTGTATCCTGCCATATTGCTGGTTTGCTG